CTGCCGGCCCGGGCGGACACTCTCGCCCCGCGGCGAGGTCGTCTGGGCTCGTGCGCGATGGTTGCTCGAGGAACCAAGTGTAGCGTTTTCTCATACCCGAGAGCTCTCAACAGGTTGCAGCTTAGGGCCCAGCCGCAAACCAGTGCTCGTCAGGGAAGAGTGTTCTTCCTGGAGGTCCAAGGAGCAGGCACCGCCTGAAGGGAGGCGCTGGGGCGGGAGGCAGCCCAATTCCGAAAGGTGGAAAAGGGCGCAGTGCGGGAGCCGGGTGCCCGAGAGCCTGCGGGCTGGAATGAGTGGCGCAGGGGCACACGGCGGTGAGGAAGAGGACGTTCATAAGTTGCATAAATTGCAAATGTGGCAGCCAAGATGAAGCGGTTCACATCCCACGTGGCCCGTGTTAGGACCAAAAGCTAGTGTACAGTTGTCCTTACATCCGGATCATTGGGGTTATGGTTTGCTAGGTCCGTGCAAACGACTGGAGGAAGCACGTGTTCTCTATGGGGGTTGTGTGTTTCCGGTTGACAACCACGTGACCAGGAGTTTCAGGATAGCCCTCCTTTCACACTCAGAGTCCACCCAAACCTGTATTTCAACAACCGAATCAAGCCAATGTCCATAACAAAGTGCATAAATCACTGAAGTATGAGAACCATCCTGTTGGGGCACCTGTATACTAAGCTCTTTTTAGACAGTAGCTACACTTGCAGCATGTAAGTCGAATATACCTGCATATACATTTTGGTCAAATGGAATGTTTGGCAATTAAAAATTGCAATTCTATGAATCAAAATATCACCATGACAGAACGACTTCTAGAAAAAAAAACCCTGAATTTTCTTGGGAAGGAAATTAATTTTTATAACTTTTACTATTAAAAATGATTAAAAAATTTAAAGTTGCCCTGGCCGGTTTGGCTCACTGGATAGAGCCTCGGCCTGGGGACTGAAAGGTCCCAGGTTCGATTCCGGTCAAGGGCATGTACCTTGGTTGCGGGCACATCCCCAGTAGGGGGTGTGCAGGAAGTGGCTGATCGATGCTTCTCTCTCATCGATGTTTCTAACTCTCTATCCCTCTCCCTTCCTCTCTGTAAAAAATCAATAAAATATATTTTTAAAAAATGTTTTAAGTTGACCTTCATGCAAGAACAGTAATTTCACAGCCCCGTCAACTGCTGGATACCTCTATGGCCATTAAACGGGGACATTACTAAAAGAGGTATTTTCAACTGAGCTTCTTTAGCCAGCAAGTGTAGTTCTGCCAGTATAATATGGTAACATTACTACCAATTTATTAAATGGACCTTCCTTTAATAGGAACTTAGGGTAAAAAGACTTTACTCCTTTTTAATTCTTAGTCTTGAAAATTTTTTGAATGGTGATGGCATTTCATAGAAGCAATTTCACAGACTGAAGTTTTATGCAGTTTCAAGAACATACATGTTTCCAGAAGTAGATTTAAGATGGTTGTACTCATATTTTTGTCTCCAATTTCTAATATTTTTGTCTGTTCTTGCTGCTACACACAATCACTAGAGAAAAATTTGTCCTAAAGTTTGGACCTATGCCCTAGCCGGTTTGGCTCAATGGATAGAGCGTCTGCCTGCAGACTAAAGGATCCCGGGATTTGATTCCTGTCAAGGTTTCGGACTCCATCCCCAGTAGGGGGCGTGCAGGAGGCAGCCAATCAATGATTCCCTCTCATCATTGATGTTTCTATCCCTCTCTCCCTCTCCCTTCCTCTCTGGAAGCAATAAATTTTCTTTTTTTAAAGAAATGTGACAATGGAGCAATTTAATTGGTTTTCAAGTTAAGAAAATACTTGCAGTTTCCATCTGTATCTAACTTTCCTTGTAGGCATACTAACTGTAGCATCTTCCCTAGAGTAGAATCAAAGGGAAATCTTTTCAGCAGGAATCATGTAGGCACATCAATTTATTCAGCAAGTTCCCACAAACTGCTCTCTATGCAAGCAACTATTGGTTATTAGTAAGTCTTACTCTGGAAAATACAAAATTAAGGTCTTCGCCGAAACCGGTTTGGCTCAGTGGATAGAGTGTCAGCCTGCGGACTGAAGGGTCCCGGGTTCGATTCCGGTCAAGGGCATGTACCTGGGTTGTGGGCACATCCCCAGTGGGAGATGTGCAGGAGGCAGCTGATCGATGTTTCTCTCTCATCGATGTTTCTAACTATCTCTCTCCCTTCCTCTCTGTAAAAAATCAATAAAATATATTTTTTAAAAAAATTAAGGTCTTCTTTGTTCTAGAAGCCTTTGAAGGACCCAATAGCTGCCGCTCCATCTTGTTTAAATATTTTGTATATGTACATGACAAGACAATTTCAAAATCTGTTGTGTGTCATATAATTTGTTGTTGGCAGAAGTGGTCGACAGTCTTCCTGCTTGCAGCTAGTCATTTTCTATTACATCTTTTAAAGCTATAACCATTTCTGATTATAAACTAAAATGTCTAAACAAATTATAGTTTGCTTCTGCTCATAGTCTGCACCATATTTGTTTCACCGTCAATGATAATTCCATGCATTTCTCTTCACTGGTTTTACATTCCATAAATATTACTTGAAGTCAGCTTCACCACTATGTGGGTGGGACCCAGGAATCTTTCACCAGGTAAAGAAAGCAGAAACATGGTTGAATTAATCATGATCCTTTTGTTGTTGAACCTAAAATATTAAAGTTGATTCTTCATGTCTAAAAGTCACATATACCATACACTGTGGCAGCATATTTAGTAATTTCATTCACCTTTTCGGTACACAAGAAATACAAATCAGGAAAAAAAATTTAAAACAAAATAAACAAATAAATAAAATTGAAACAGATTTACAGATACAGAGAACTGCCATTTACAGGAGAGAAGGGTTGGGGGGGGGGATGGGTGAAAAGGTGAAGGGATTAAGAAGTACAAATTGGTAGTTACAAAATAGTCACAGGGATGTAAAGTACAGCATAGGGAATAGAGTCAATAATATTATAGTAACTATGTATTGGGCCAGATGCATGCTTGAAACATTGAAGGAACCACTCTGAAAAGCACATGGTTTTCTAACCACTACTAGTATACTGCACACCTGAAACTAATACAGAATAATATTGAGTACAAATTGTAATTGGGAAAAAATATAGTGTCCCAATAAATACACACACTTTGAATAATTATAAATGCATTGTTTATTAAAATACATTTTGTAAGGACAGAAAAAGTCCTCTCCTTTTCTTTGCTGTGGCCTTCCACAATTTATGAGAAGCACCTGGTAATTAAACTTCGAGATTGCTGGCTCCTCTACTTAAACAGCAGGATGACATAAGACTATACATACTCTCAAGGTTGCATCCTCGCATTCCCCTCTCCCTGCCGTTTTAACAGCTCAGGGATAATTTGCACCAAGGAATCTCTAATTAGTACAAAGTTCCCTTCCCTCTCCCCTTCAGACAAGCCTCTTTGTAACTTTTGCTTTAAGTATGTTTTACCGGCTTGGGGAAAATACTAAGACACCTCCTTAGGACATCTGTCTGACTGTCTCCTGGAAAGCAAACAAACTGTAACTTTTCAAGATACAGTTCAACTTCAACACCTCCCCGCCCCCCTTGTCACTTAGCAACAGCAATTGCTTGCTCTTTATTTTTATTTTTTAAATATTAAATATATTGATTTCAGAGAGGAGGGGAGATGGAGAGAGAGATAGAAACATCAATGATGAGAGAGTCATTTATTGGCTGCCTCCTGCACGCCCCTGACTGGGGATCGAGCTTGCAACCCTGGCATGTGCCCTGCCTGGGCATGGAACAGTGACCCCCTGGTTCACAGGTCGACTCTTGCTTGCTCTTTAAAAGTGCAGGCCACTCTTTCTTCCCTACCCTGTACTGACTAGCAATAAACTGGCCCTTTCCTCCCTTAGAAAGTAAAATAAATTTCCTCTCTGCATCTCTTCTCTTAGTTGTGAATTCTTTCACAGCCCCTGTCACTGGCCTAACCCTAACATTTCATTTTCGAAAGTGTATGCACTTTAACAGCTACCAACTGTTAAAGTGTGCATACATTTTTGGGGACAACTATATATGAAAAAAAAAAAAACATGCCCCCAACTTTCAAGACCCAGCTTTAGGAGAAACAGCTGGTGGCCACAACAGCGGACACATGAAAATAACAATGACACGCTAGTTGACAGAGGAGAGAGAGGGAGAGCCCTGGAGAGACTACAAAAACACCGAGGAAGTCCGTGAGCCCTCCACACCTAAAGAGAAAGGGGCTCCGGTGGCTTTGAGGACTCAGGAACACCACTAGCTAAGGCCTTAGAGTGAATTTCACTGTGATGGGACAAAGGGTGCCCAACTAGTACAATGGGATATTAGAATCATAAGAGCTACTGTAAGTTGGGAAGGAAGTAGAGAGAGTTAAAGTGTTCTAAAGTGGCCTGTGTTATCTGAGAGGAGGGTAAAGTTTTCAGTTAACCATGGGATTATGGAGTTTCTAGTAAAATCACTAAAATAGAAGAAATAGTATTAAATATTCAAAGTAGCAGGGGGAAATAATGACATTATTAAAAAAACAAACAAAAATAGGAGAGAAAAACATAAGGGATAAACATTGAAAGTGCAAAATAAGGTGGTAGATGTGAATATAAATACATCAGCAATTACATTAAAAATAAATTAAATGCTCCAGATTAAATGACAAAGATTTTGTATATCCTATTTACAAAAGACACATCTAAAATATAACCTTGATTCCAGAACGCAACAAGGACAATACAAAAAAAAAAAATGTATGGGCCAATTTCACTCATAACATAGGTACAAAATTAAATAAATTATGATCTAACTAAATCCACAAATATAAAGGGGTGGGCAAAAGTAGGTTTACAGTGGTTCATATGGAAAATAATACAATAATTAATAAATAATATAAAAATATACTCTCTGTTTTACGTACTCACAACTGTAAACTTCTTTTGGCCCAACCTGCATAAAAATAATGGAACTTCATGACCAAGTTGGACTTGCATCTAGACTGCAAGTTGTATTTAATTTTACAAGAAGCAATACTTGTAAATATAATTCACCATATTAACATACTAAAGGAGAAAGAGCATATGATTATCTCAATAGTTTCCAAAAATAAGGTTTTGATAAAAATTCACATCCATCCATGATAATTTTATTTATTTTTGAATATATTTTTATTGATTTCAGAGAGGAAGGGAGAGGGAGAGGGAGAGAGAGAGAGAAACATCAACGATGAGAGAGAATCATTGATTGGCTGCCTCCTGCACGCCCCCTACTGGGGATTGAGCCCGCAACTCAGGCATGTGCCCTTGACTAGAATCAAACCTGAGACCGTTCAGTCCACAGGCTGATAATCTATCCACTGAGCCAAACCAGCTAGGGCTATGATAATTTTATTTTTGCAAACTAAAGGAAAATTCC